CCCCCCCCAATAAAATTATTAATTATCTTGTATAAATAGGCTGTTGATTTTCTTTACTCATTTCAGTTATTACCAGCAAAATAGTTGCATGTTTAGTCATCTGGGAATTTACCCAGATTTTATTATTTATTTAGACAGAGATCTTGACCCCCCCCCCAATGTTCAGCACATAGTTACGCTGATGGAAATTACTTGTATATTCCTTATATCATATCTGGAAACATTGGGGTTATTACAACGGAAACAGTTAATAAATTTAAACTTATAGTACATCATAACACACATACATCACAAAGTTTCCTATAAGGGAATTCATCTGAGTGGACTACGTTACACAGCATGAACTGCACAAATGGAGCTTTTGCTGTAATGCATGTCAGCACTTAGCACTGCTCTCAAGGTCAAACAGATGTTTGAGAATTAGTCTTAATAAAACTGACACAGCACCGTTTATGAGTAATGAACTTTTTTTTTCCTTCTACATCTGTGTGTGTGTCAGACAGCTTGGCAGGAAGCAGCAATGAGGCAGTTGATGTTGCTGATGAGAACATTCCTTTTAGGTCAAGAGGATGGGAAGAGATTTTCTAAGGAGTCACATTCTTCATCAGATACTGGAATAGAAAAAAGAATTATGTGTTTTCTTCAGACATTAAACGTATAATTCAAAGATTATTGTGTTACACACAGATAAAGTCATTTTTGTCTCAAGGAAACAACAAGACGTAATTATGAGATTTGAAGCGCAGCTGATATGACTATAAACTCACTGGGCACTTCATTAAGTACACCATTTTAACTAGTGGTGCAACGGATCAAAAATCTCACGGTTCGGATTGGATCACGGTTTTAAGTCACGGATTGGATCAATTTCCAGATCAGCAAAATAGAAAAAAAAAAAATTCGACTCGCCATTTACTTATTTAAGTATTTTTTGCCTATTAAAAAAACATTCAACTGAAGACTCATTCCACACACTTATATAAAAACAAATTAAGGTGCAATATGGACATTATGGACCATGCTGGGCAACCTCTGCATCCTCTGCACACGGCCATAAACAACCAGAGGAGTCTGTTCAGTGAGAGGTTGCTTCTCCAAAGTCAAGGGCCAGCAGACTTAAAAACTCCTTTGTCCCACACGCCATTAAACTGTTTAACTCCTCGCTGGAGGGGAGAGGGAGGGGAAACGAAGACAAAGGAGGGGGGAACAAGTAAGCTGTAGTGCCTTTTCACTGTGCAATAGTTTTTGTTAATATCCAACGGTGTAATAGACTCACAATACTTGAAATGTGCCGTTCCCTTGTATTCTTATTCCTATTTATCCCTTTTGTATACTCTGTATTTATATATGTGTATATATGGTATATTTCTGCTCACATTCTGAAACTTCTGTCGGTGCTGTGCTACTGGAAACGGAATTTCCCGGAGGAACCCACCCGAGGGTTAAATAAAGTTTCATCTAATCTAATGTAATCTATAGGGCAGTGCAGGGCTTTGTATCTACCACTCCGCTGTGATATAACGAGCGGTCATGGTCACGTGGCTTTCCGTTGCCCTGGAGGTCCACCCATTTGTAGTTAGGGCAACAGAAGATGCCTGGGACACTTCAGCCATAACTTTTAAAAACAAGCAGATGCGATGTTAGAACGCCTTTATTTTTATTTTAGTACAATAGACAGCTGCTGGGGTTTGGGGTTTGTTTAACCTGAGTAGCGAAAAGACCGTGGGGGGGTTGAAAATGATGTGCCGGGAGTCCGCTGTTCTCGCTGGCTCTAGTGATCCTCGACCTCGCTGTCTGCTATGGAGCTGGTGGGTCACAGACATCTCCGAAAACATCGGAGCACGTTTGGAAATATATGACATCTTGATAAATCGAGCAGATATTTGAAGTTTACACAGCTACATTCTCGCTTGAAAATAACTTAAAAGTTCATTTTGTGACCCAGAAAGAGTAATATTTAAAAGTTTTCAGCCCAGCTTGTCCGCCATTGCCGCGTTTGAGTTTTGGACGAAATGCATTCTGGGATATTTAGCTGTACCAAGTCCACACAAGTCACCACCGATGCATGCTCGATAAAACAGGCGGAGCGAGAACACATCCAGGACTTTTTCGCATTCTCGGCTTGATGAGTACTTTGAATTGGAACAGTACTTGGTCTCCGACTGATGACGTATCACGAGTACGCAAGTACGCACAAGTACGCATATTGAGACAGGGCCTATACTTCTCCTGCTCATACATGCTTGGAACGACCTTGTCACACTGAAATGGACGCACAACGAGATATCATAGCGTGGCTCAAGCACGTTCATCACAGTTTAAACCCCTTGTTTTGCACAACGGAATACGGCCTCCCGTCTGCAGCTAAACACCCCAGTAGCTTTTGTAATAGCTTTAGCCCGGTCGGATTGGGCAGCAAAGTGCTGCTTAAATGCCGCAAACTCCTCTGCTCCGCCACTTGGACCGCTAGTGCTGGCCATAACTATCGCTTGACAGACCCACCACGCAACCATACACATACTTTTTTTTTTTCCTTTTTCGAATCTTCGGATCACGTGCGTACCGAACCGTGGAGTGGGATCGGTTTGGATTTCGGATCAACCGTGATCCGTTGCACTACTAATTTTAACTGCTTGTTAACGTGAATATCTGTTCAGCCAATGCTTGGCAGTAACTCACTGTATTTACGCATGTACACAGGGTTAAAATGACCCCCTGTTAACTAACTTGAAACTGGGGCTACAGTTTGCAAAGAATCACCAATGTTGAACAACTGAAGATTGGAAAAAACATTCCTTGGTTTGTGTATCTTAATTTGTGCTGCAACATTCAGATAGTGGGGTCAGAAAAGTATAAACACACTGATTCATCCTGCCTTATAGCAACATCTGACATTATAGGCTGATGGTGATTTAGTGATATTATCTTGGCACACTTTGGGTCCCTTAGTACCAATTTAGCATTGTTTAAATGTCACAGCATACGTGACTTTTTGTTGCTAATGCTTATGAGCAGCACTACTTCTAATAGTAGTTTCCAGGAGGCTATCATACACAGTCCTTCACAGTCAACAATTCTCAGTCTATTAGAGAACCTTCGGGAGGTTTTGGAGCAGCTCATTCATATCATGATGTGCATCTGACAAATCTGCAGCTACTGTGTGATGTTAGCACGCATTTATGCAATAGATTGCATCTTTCTAGTACTGGGTTGGACAACCAGTGAAGTGGCTATGATTGTAAGTAGCTTTCTGAACAGAATACAGAAGCAAGATTTCTGATTTGAAATGTAAGGTTTTTGTTTTTTGTTGGAAAAGAAGTTCTTGATTTCATAAAGAAGTCAGAATTAAAGCTACTGAGGGCCAGCACTGAACTGATTAAATTAAACTAGCTAGCTACTCTTAATTTCTGTTCACTGTCTGGATAATTAATTTTAATATTACACAAAGTTGTTTGGTAAATTAGAAAGGTTCTAAAATACAACTAGTATGGACAAATAAACAATACAATGCTTACATTGCCATATTTAAAATATAAGCAATTTCCATTTATAGTAAAAAAAATAGTTAAGCCTAGTATAATAAAGCATATATTTCGTTTTACAAATGCACTTAAGTTTCCAACTCTTATCAAGAGGGAAAAGCTATTTGTGGACAGCTGTTTTACATATCAAGAGGAAAGCGGAAAACTACAGCTAAATATTAAACATTCTTATTAAGATAAACCACATGGAAAAATGTGAAATGTTAACATTATCTTGATCTCTTTAATGGGATTAATTTGCTATGATTTCTCAGAATCTGATTACCTAAATACATTTGACGACATAACTGTATCAAATACATGGATCAGTCAGTCTCCAAAGGGTACAGAGGCATGCTTTCCACCGATCTTGCTTGATCCGAAATGTCTTGGGAAAAAGGCCGTAGGTATCTGAGGGAAAACATGAACGCTGTGATAAAAATCTCACACGAGTTTAAAATGAGAGTCCATCTTCCTGTCAACAGTCATGATGTTGGCTTGAATTTGACTTTTAAATAAAAACACTGATTCTGCAGCCTCCCAGCAGCAGGGTTTCATTTGGACCGTGACAATCCATCTCTCTCTCACACACACACACACACACACACACACACACACACACACACA